TTGCTAAACATAATTTTTATTTTTCTGTGTACTACTTTCTCTCTTTAGACAATTCATGTGCTTATGTCTGGTCTTTCCACAGAAATGACAAACAATACTGCTAGGTAAATTAACATACTTCTTTTCCTTTTGGAACTTCTTCTTGAAACCTAGTCCTTCTGTTCTTTTGGTCTGAGCATTAGTGATCCAGTCAGGAACTATATACTCAACGGGTTTCTTACCTTTCTTGGCCTTCTCAAGTTCCCCCTCAAGTCTGGCTTTCTCCATTTTGGCTTTTTCTAAATCCAATTTCAGCTTTTCAAAATTGGTGAAATGAGCTAGAGAAGGAACTTCATAATTAGGTGAGTCTATTCCTAATTTTAATAAAGAGAGTTCAACATTTAAGAGTATGTTATCATGTTTTAAATTCTCTAAGGTCTCTTTTAAAACAATATTGTCATAAAAAAGACTAAAGAATCTGTATTGAATGTCAAATTTCATGTTGTCAACCCACTCACTATTTTCTTGGTAAGTGATCAATGCTTTATCACTTTGCTGCTTAGCTTTTATGCAATTCTTTGAGCTCTTCTTGAATATCTAAAACAACACATATTAGATTCTTTTTAGAGAAATGTTCTAAATCTCTTTGAGAAAACCATACCTCAGCCTCAAGTTCCTTTAGCTTAGCCTTTTCATCTGATTTTGCCATTAGGCACAAATGAGTTGTTTCTTCAGGAGGTTGATCTTCTTCATCTTCTGTATCAGTGTCTCCCCAGGCAGCTAACATTTCCTTCTTCACATTGTCTTTGGTGAAGTAAGGCTTATACACTCTGGATTCCTTGGATTGCTCCTTGGACTTGTTCTTACCTTCCTTGAGTGGACAGTCTTTAATGAAGTGATCTTTTTCTCCACATTTGAAACATGTAGTATCTCTGGAACCAGTGTACTTCTTGTTTCTGTCAAACTTTCTGTTATTCATCATCTTTTTGAATCGTTTGACTAACATAGCCATTTCCTCTTCATCAACTTTGGATTCCTCTGAGTCTTGTGCCTTTAGAGCAAGACTCTTGTTTTTAGAACTTTCGTTATTGGAACTTAGGTGCAATTCATGAGTCATCAATGATCCTGCTAGTTGTTCCATATTAAACTTAGTGAAGTCCTTTGCTTCCTACATGGAAGTAACTTTGGATCTCCATCGTTCATCCTGTGGGAGACTTCTCAAGATCTTTCAAGCCTGTTCATCAATAGGAATATGCCTGCCAAGGGAGCTCAATTCATTAATTATATCATTGAATCTAGTAAACATTTCTTCTATAGTTTCTTTGGACTTTATTTCAAACCTTTCATATCTAGACATTAACAAATCAATTTTAGAACGTTTTACCTCGTTTGTACCTTCATGACTAACCTCAAGTAGATCCCAAATCTGTTTAGCAGTCTTGCACCCCATGATACGATTATGCTCATGAGGTCCAAGACCACAATGTAAATACTTTATTGCTAAAGCATTCATTTCGATTTTCTGATAATCCTCTTTCTCGTAATCAGAAATAAGTTTAGGAACTACCTCATTTTTGTCATTGGTTGCGGTTACCTCAAAATCACCAGCTTCAATAACGCGCCAAACTTGGTAATTTTCAGCCTTAATAAAGATCTCCATTCTGTTCTTCCAGTAGGTATAAAACTTACCGTTAAACATAGGTGGACGTTGGGTTGTATACCCTTCTTCAAGTTTCTCTTGGTATTTCATTTCTCCTCAAGAACTTACTTAGCAAAATTATCTGCTTACACGTGAGAACCTCGCTCTGATACCAATTGTTAGTTGAAATGAACACTACAAGAGGGGGTGAATTGTAGTTAAGTTCCTAGTGACTACTTTTGCAAATTTAAAACAGAATGTAAAAGGAACCTGACAATGCACACGATTTTACGAGGAAACCTTCCAGGGCCCAACTGGAAGTAAAACCTCGACCCTTCTAAGGGATTTCAACACAAAATCAATCCACTATAATAGGGCAAAAGTAAAGTTACAAACCTATTATAATTAAGACCTTTGTAAACAAGTTCCAACTAGAACTTGCAACACAGTAAGACTTAATCCTACCCAATTCAAATCCCCTGACTTGAACTCACTCGTACTCTCATAGTACAAATACAACCTTTTACCACAAAGTTGTTTCTCCTGTATGCAATTATAAATTTCTTACACTCACACCCAACAACCCAATCAATTACAGAAATGTAGTATCTAGAATATGTTAGGCAAGCTATGCATAAAACCCGAAACTAATATGACAAGATAAAGCTTGGCAAACTTACACTTTGATAAAGCTCACAAGATTTTCTTCACGCATAAACTTACAAAAACCTAAAGCAATTATGTCTCTACTATTTATACAAGTGTAACTCGTATATCAAGTAGGTTTTCTAAAGATAAAGATGTTAACTTTCCTTATCTCAAAATATGATTTTGGTAAATCTTTTCATCGAAGAAAATCCCTTCCGAAAAACACAAGAAGATATAGTTAAAAGAATAATATCGTTTTTACTGATTTTTGGAAAATAAATTAAAACAAAATCTTTTTCCAAAATCTATCTTTGTATATTTTTCCGATTTTATCTTTTTGCCAAATTATCTTGTCACGTCTCTAATAGATTTCATGCATATCTTATTAACATATTTAACAATAAATCTAGAAGATAAAATCTTAACTAAATTAATATTTCAATGTCGCGCTTCTGTAATCCTGAATAACTTGGGCTTCACGCAGGCCAGGAACAAGTTCCTGCTGTCACTTGATCACCAGTCCTCAACTGGAACTTCGCAGCCTAAGTTCCTTGTGGAACTTACTGTCTTCAACTTACAACCTTCAAGTTCCTGTTAGGGAACATTCCTATTAAGGAGTTTAGTTCTTGTTAGAGAACTCTTCTTCTATTGATTAACTTTTTAACTAAGGTTTCTTCAAGTCTTCATAATACAAGATAGATGCTCTTCCACCACCAAGGTCAACTTCTCCTGTACTAAACACTTGTAAACCTTTAATTGAGTTTGCTTTAGTTTAAGTTCATCATCATCAAAACCTATAAGTTTCAACACTTACTTTGACCTAATCATCAAAACTAGTGAATTCAAAGTAAAATATATCAATAGTGCAAAATTCAATGTTGTATAGTGACAATAAGAGTCACTCATTTATAAACTTTTTCCACTATCATCCCCAAAAAACCAAACTCTGTCTTACTTTTTCTGTCAAATAACTCGTTAATCATAGGTGGGAGGGGCCTTTCAATTGAAAAAAAAAACACAGATGAAGCATATACGAAACATTTTCAATTTTTGTAGATACTTCTTACTTTACTACTAAGGGTGGTGGTTCTGCATCTAGTTCTTCTTCTTCTGAGGGTGAGGTGGCTCCCCGGTCTGGGCCGCCACAGCCATCATGAATGTGGCAGCTTGGAACTGTAGGGGCCTAGGTTCTGCGGACTCCCCTAAAGTTCCATATGTGTCTTCTCTAGTTCGCTCTTTTGGTATCGACATCATGTCTTTAATAGAAACTTTAGTTCCTGTAAATGTTGTTGTAGATAAATTATCTAGCTTAGCTTTTGATGGGTTTTGCGGGTCAGATGCTTTAGGTCTAAGCGGGGGTTTGGTAGTCTTTTGGTTTGCCCCGGTTTCTGTAGTTCCTGTTTCAATTTCTCCTCATGTTATATTTTGTAAGGTTGTAGTACCCGGTCAAGCAATAATATTTGTAGTGTTTGTGTATGGGTCGCCTCATGTTTCTTTGCGTTCTTCAGTTTGGGATGAACTTTTACAAATTTTAAACCTTTACCCTGATGTTGTGTTGTTAGGAAATTTCAACCAAGTAGAGTATTTAGAGGACAAATTAGGGGGAGCTCCTTCTATTCCTGGTCATTATGATTTTTTAGAATGGAAAATATCATCTGGTTTAGTTGATATTCCGTTCACAGGTTCTCCTTTTACTTGGACTAATGGTCAATTAGGAAACCCTACTTTTGAACGTCTTGATAAAGGATATGCTTCCTGTTCCTGGTTGCATTCTTATCCAGATGCTATGATAGTTCATCAACCCATCCATTTTTCGGATCATGCGGCTATTGTTTTAAAGGAAACAGGTCCTCTCTTTCCCAGGAAAACCCCGTACCGTATTGAAAACTGGTGTTTAAAGATTCGGGAAATTTCCTTATTGATAAACTCAGCTTGGGATATTAATCTTTTAGGTTCACAAATGTTTGTTCTATCCCAAAAATTGATGCATCTTAGGCAGAAGATGCTGAGATGGTGTGTGGAGCATAAAAAGAATTGGGGTATGGACTGGAAAGATTTACAGGATTCTGTGGGTTCGCAAGCACTGTCTGCAAATTCTATGACTACAGGCTTTCATTTCCTTCGAACTCGAGATCAGAAAATTTCTCAAGCTCATACGTTATTCCTTTATTGGAAACAAAGATCGAAAGTCAGATGGGATGCTTTTGGTGAAACTAATTCACACCTACTCTTTTCATCAGTTCAGGATCGGCGTCGTTGGAATAAAATTTTTAGTCTAAAGGATAATCAGGGAAATTAGATTTCTGATCCTACGGGAATTGAGAATCTACTGTTTCAGCATTTCTCGGATTTATATAATTGTCATAATTATCCATCCACTAATATTCCAGATCTTTGGGAAGATCTAGATATTCCTGTGTTGTCTTTTCTTCATCAGTAGCAGTTAATGGCTCCATTTACTACAGATGAGATAAAGAATGCAATATTTCATATAGGAAATGATAAATCTCCTGGACCGGATGGTTTTACAGCTGCTTTCTTTAAATCTCATTGGTCGATTGTTGGTAAACAAGTTACCTCTGCAATCCAGTATTTCTTTGCTCGTGGTTATATGCTTAAAGATTAGAACCAGACTTTTCTGGTTCTGTTACCAAAGGTAGACCACCCTGATAATCCTTCTCAATTCCGCCCGATTGGTCTATGTAATGTTTTGTATAAGTGCATTGCGAAGTGCATGACGGCCCGATTACGGAAGATTTTACCTCTCCTGATCTCAGAGTCCCAATCTGCCTTTGTCCCGGGACGGCTTATGTCGGACAACAGTCTTATAGCTCATGAAATGCTATCTTATATGAATTCTTCTACTTCCAAGATATGTTCTGCTGCTTTGAAGTTGGATATGAACAAAGCCTATGATAGGGTTAATTGGGAGTTTCTCTGGGATGTGCTTAAGGCTTTTGGTTTTCCTCCTTATTGGATTCAGCTAATTAAGCAGTGTGTTTCTACGGTATCCTACCAGATCCTTATCAATGGCAAGCCTTCTTCTGTTCTCCGTCCGGCTTGCGGCTTGCGTCAGGGAGATCCTTTATCTCCTTATTTATTTGTTCTTTGTATGGAAGTTTTTTCTTTAATGTTGAAGCGGTCCGAGGGCAATGGTCTATTTCAAGGTTTGCGCATTTCCAGGCGATCTCCTTCGGTTTCCCATTTATTTTTTGCAGATGATGCGTTGCTTTTCTTCCGGGTTAATCCTTCTGCATGTTGTCACCTTTTGGACGTTATTGATCGATTTTGTACTGCTTCTGGTCAGATGGTTAATGTTCAAAAATCCTTTGTTAAGTTTAGCTCGAATACTCCGGAGGATTATCGTGAATTTTTAAGCTCTGCTTTACATATGCAAGCTAAAAATTCACTGGGCTCTTATTTGGGTCTCCCTGTGGATTTAGGACGTGCTAAATGTCATCAATTTCAACCCTTGGTGGATAAGGTGACGCAAAAGCTGTCTGCTTTTAGTTCTCGTCGGTTATCGGCAGCAGCCAAATTAGTGCTTATCAATACGGTGGTCATCGCTTCTTTAAATCATGTGCTTTCGGTGTTTAAGTTGCCGGTGACTATTTCTGTTCAGATTGGCCGTCTGCTGTCGCGCTTTTGGTGGAAAAACAACAGTTCTTCTAGGGGTCTGGCTTTAACTCCTTCTGCTGCTCTTGTTCTGCCTCGAGGGTTAGGAGGTCTTGGCATTCGTCATGTGCCTTCTTTTAATTCGGCTTTACTGGTTAAGCAAATGTGGCGTTTAATTCATAATCCACAGCTTTTAGTTTCAAGGATTTACCATGCTCGGTATCCTCATCTTGTAAACTATAAAGCTTTTAGGTTGCCTCCTCGTCCTTCTTGGGGATGTAGGAGCTTAATGGAAGGGGCTCGTGTTCTTTCTCATGGTGTGAGATGGAAGGTGGGTTTTGGTTCTCAGGTAAATATTACTGCTGATGATTGGGTTCCGGGGTTCTCTGTTCGTTTCAAGGACTCCATTCCCTCGGATGATCTACCTTCTGTGGTGGTGCAGATAATTGATCCTGGTTCTCATGCTTGGGATAGTACTCGCATTCGACAGTTTTTTCCCCCTCCTATTGCGGATTCCATCTTGGGAATGGAAAGACCTCATGAAAAAATGGATGATTTTGTGGATTGGAAATTTACATGGGATGGTTCGTTTACTACTAAATCTGCATATGCTCATATTCTAAATCAACATGGGTTAATTAGGTCTTTAAATTCCACTATCATTCTTGGTTGGTGGAAGAAATTTTGGGGTCTTCCGATTTTACCAAAATGGAATATCTTTGTTTGGAAAATTTTACATAATGGTCTTCCCACGGCGGCTGTCTTAGTCTCGAAAGGTGTTCCTATTAATGCTGCTTGTGGGTTTTGTCATCAACATCCTGAAACAATCTCTCACATTTTCCAACACTGTGAGTTTACTTGCTTAGTCCGTTCTTCTCACTATCTTGAGGTAATTCGGGCTTTGACCTTGGATCGAGACTTTAGTACATGGTTTGCTGATTTGATTAGTGGTTTTGTAACTGCTAAGGATTGGCATGGTTTAGATGAGATCCTTGCTTTCTTCTGGGCTATTTGGTTAACTAGGAATAATCTTAGATTCCGTTCGGAGGTTTATTCTCCTGCTGGGATTTATGCTATGACTGCCTCTTGGCTGTCCAGGAGTAAAGAGGCTAAAGATTTGTCTGATCGTTTGCATCCTTCTTGTCCTCCGGGGTTTGGTGTTTCTTGCTTGCATGATCTAAATTTTGGTGATTCGTTTGATCAGTATGACATTTGTCTTACCTCTGATGGCTCTTGGAATGCCAAGGATCAACATGCGGACATGGGTTGGTTTTTATCCTCTGATTTATCTTCCCAGGTTGTAGGGGGAGGAGCCCAAGCGGGCTTTGCTTCCTCGGCGCTTCAATCTGAATTGTTTGCCTGTCTTCTTGGTTTACGACATGTTAGAGATAGGAGCTACACTAGTGTGAGAATTTGTACGGATTGCAGTTCAATCAAGTCTTTGATTGGGGGTCAGTCTTCGGCTTCGATCTTGGTCATTTGGATCTTGCGGGAAATTCGGCAGATTATTGCGGGTCTTCAGCGATTTCACATTCAAAAAGTCTCCAGAGCGGAAGTTGGTTATGCTCATCACCTGGCTAATTTAGCTCGTAGTCGTCATTTTATTTGTTTTCGGTTTTAGTTTCTTTGTTCTCTTTGTCAAAAAAAAAAATAAAAAAATTACACCATATGTATTTTCATAGCCTCATCAAATGCGCTACTTTCACCACACATAATTGTGATTTTACATAGCTAAAATCATACGTAGTGTAGAGTTTAATAAGCTGATTTTTTTAAAAAAAAATTTTAAAAAAAAAATACATGCTCCTACCAGAATCTCAGTTGACCATACTTTCTTTTATATAGTGGTAAAAAAATATGGTAAAATTTTTTGAAATTTTGACCTTAAAAAAAATATGCAATTATTATTTCATAATATGGAAAGTATTCAATACATAGTTTCAAACTTTTGAACATCTTTCTTTTTCATATGTTGGAACTTCTTACGTTATTGCATTGAAAAATTTAACATAACAAGCGAACTAATAATGTATTTTTGGATAAACATAATGAAGCAGAATATGTGGAAATAAGAAAATGTTGCCATATTTGCAAATAATTATAAATTCCGGTTATTATATATTTCCTATATACGTCACTTACGGATGGAGTGTTCATTCGACTATTTAGTTACACTAATTTCTTGTTTACGTTACTAGCAGCATGTCATCAATTATATTATTCCAGATACTTAATGCATTTAATCTGAAGTAATCACCTAAATTTTGTGACCAATTGCCAGTTTGTTTTGCTTGTTATTGAAGTTAGCAAACAATGTGTTAACAAATGTTTTTTGTACTTCCTCATCTTTTATTGCCCTTGTTGTCCATTATATTGTACTTGTAGGATTTGTAGGATCTTATTTTTAAGATAGGTTAGTGATTGTAAGAAACAATTACATAAAGTATGACAAGTTGAGTAAGATAATTGGTAAGTAACTTAACTTTACTAAATAAATGGATAAAGCTAAGTAAAAGAGAGCTAGAGAGTCGATTAAAAGATATAATAATAAAGTATATTAATTAATGTGCAGATAAGGGTGACCATAATAGATATAGATAGGTATATTAAATTTAAACAAAGAGAACGTGAAGTGGAGTATTAAATTATCTTTAATTTATTTCTTCAAAAGGAAAAAAAAATTACTCCGTAATAAATTATCTGCGGTGTAACAATTAGATTTACAAAATAATTGCGCATGTTAAGTTAAAATCTTAATTAACACTTAAATTTTTTTTTGACACATTAACACTTTAAAATTGGTGTCCAAAGTTTGAAAACGTTGAATACGAGTAATGTAAAATCCTCACTGGTACATCTAATTTACAACGAGCAAAATATACACTATTGATCATGTGAGCTTTTTTTTTTTTTTTTTTTTAACCATCCATCCAATTTTGTATTAATTGGTAAGAGGAAGGGGTTGTTCTCTTCAACTTATCTTCAGTTCATCAATTCCTAATTTCTTTCTCACGTAAGATATTCAATTTTATTCAGTTCAGCTCCAATCAATACACTTTAGTTCAGTAAATCAGAATAAGTCCGAAGTAGCTAGAGGATTTAATCAAGGATACTGATGAAGCTAATAAGGGCATTCATGTGATTGTATGCGTATGAAGGCTCCCTAAACAGGTCAACTCACACACATTACATTACTAAGAGCAAGTTTAGCCCTAAGTCTTAAGACTTGGATGTGACATCATTTTTTGTGGTCCCCATTGAAAATGATGTCATCAAATTCTTGTTAAGACTCACTAATGACTTACACAAATTTATCACATATTATATGTAGAAAAGTGTAAAAATAATAATAAAAAAAAAAGAATAATAAAAATAAAAGTGAGGTGGGTGAAGTGGGTCTCAATCTCAAGTCTTAAGTTGAGTCTTGAAATTTTCAGGACTCAACTAGAGATTTTTGAAGAAAAATGGGAAAAGTCTAAAGCATATGTCTTAAGATTTAAATTAATGATGTACTTAAGAAAAATGAGATTTACTTAAGATTCAGATTTTTAAGTACATGATTTCTTAAGTACATATGCTTAAGACATATGCTTTAGCCATGCTTTAGACAAATGTACTTAAAAATCATCAATTTGAATCTTAAGAAAAATGAGATTTTCAAATTTGCTTGAGTTCATAGACATCATGATTTACTTAAAAAACTTCTTATTTAATTGTGAAATGTATTAAAATCGAGAGCAAAAGAGTCATGCATATAGCTAAATCTAATTTGGTGCAAAACTAAAGGTCAACGTCTTTTTGTCAATTTAACTACAATAGATGTTTGGATTACATCATCTTATAATAAAAAGAACAAAGAAAAAAAGAAAAAGAATGGATATAGATATGATAGATTTATTAATTGAAATGATGGAGGAAAAGCATGGCTTCGTATTACTAATTAATTTTTGACCAATTTCGCTACCAAAACTTAAATTTGGTGCATTTATTATTATTGATTAGGAAAATTGTAAACTAATAATCCCACCTTTAGGTGGTCTTCCACAAACAATCCCACCTTTCTAAAATCCAGAAACAATCCCACCTATTCTCCCTATCTTCTATTAACGATCCTTTTTACAGGTTACCCCTTAAACCGGTGAACCTATTCTATTTCCCTCCCTAAAGTCTTTCTTCTCCAACGGTTTTCCCCCAAAAAACATAAGTTTCGCCATTTTTATGAAACAAAGTAACAATTAAAAAAAAAATTAACTTTCAGAAACTTATCTTCATCGAAAGGACATAAAAAAAATAAAAAATCTCTGAAAAATCTCCATATTCTCTAAAATTCTTCTGCAAAACAAAGGAATCCTATCAAGAATTAATCAAAGAAGCTAATTCAAACAGTTGAAGCCGGAAAACAGGTAATTGATTAACATTCCATATCTTTCGTTAGTTGCCCAATTTAATGAGTAGAAATCCAATTGTTCGGGTAATTGCTGCTGATTATATATTCAATTATTCATTTAATTGTTCAATTGTTGTATGCGACAGTGAATAGTACCCAAAATTGAGAACTAGGGTTTACGAAAATTAAATTGGGGATTTGTTGAGTAATACCTAATATTGGAAATTAATCAAACTTGTTAGGTATGTATGTGTTGAATGATTGTCAGAATTTCTTTGGTTTCAATTGTAGGTGATATAATGACTCTGATAACCTCATCAACCTCCAACACAAAAGAAATGTAAGTGTGGAGTACACTTGCCAAGCTTACTTCATGGACTCCAGAGAATCCTGGGCGCAAGTTTAGAGCATGCAAGTTCTATGATCCAACAACTGAAACCAGAGGGTGCAAAAGCTTTGATTGGGTGGATGAAGACGATGGAACAGCGGGAGAAGAAATTCAATACTAAGGCTTGGAGTAGGCAAAGCATTAACTTTCAGAAACTTATGAAGAAAGATGAAGAAAGATGAAAAAATTAATTGATGGGGGGGGGGCAATTTATAAAATTCTCAGAGAAGAACAGGGGAGAAGGCATTAATGGTGTATAAGCTTTTTAACGGTTGGAAATTAAATTAGAAGAAACCGGTTGTTCTAAGCAATCTAATTTTTTAACCGGTTTCAACAGGTGAAGGATCGTTAATGGAAGATAGGGGGAATAGGTGTGATTGTTTCTGGATTTTAGAAAGGTGGGATTGTTTGTGTAAGACCACCTAAAGGTGGGATTATTAGTTTACAATTTTCCTATTGATTATGTATGAAATTAAATACTTACTCCATTATTTTATTATTGCATCACTTGTCTTTTTAGGAAGTTTCACAAATATTGTACCATTTCCTCTTTAGGAAAAAAATTATTTGTGTTCACACTATAAATACCCAACATACCCTTACTTTTTCACACTTACTTATTAGTTTATCAATATGCCACATGAACAATTTTGTATTTTTACCTTTCTCTCTCTTACTTTTTTCCACTACCAAAATATTTGTATACAACTTCTATGGTGCAATAATAAAAAAAACGGAGGAAGAATTACACTTTACATGTACAATTCATAAATAAAATTAATACAAATACAAGATTTATTGATCATAGTACTAATTTTTCGCCATATTTAACTTATCTTGTACAACAAAAATATGAGAAGTACAATACTATCGTTGTACATATCGATCCTACGCAGCACAAAAAGAGGATAAGATCGCGTAAGCTCGTGAACACCTAAATAAATTTGATCAATTTGATCCCCTAAACTTAATTAATTAACTTGCGTGTCCAAAAATATTAACAATTATGGAAAGGATGAATAATTAATAAACTTAAAAAATTGAATAGTATACCAATTACGTAAAGAAATGAAGTGAAGCAAATCAAAACGGTCACGTTTCATAAAAACCGGTAAGTCGAAGAATAGAGTTCCTAACTTCACACAAATTTCTGCCCTTAAGAAGTCTTCCTTTCTCATCTTCTATACAAAACGAACACGCCATTTTCCTGCTCACGTTATAGTAGTTATTTATTCTACGCGCTACGATCACGTGTGGCGGCACCCTTAAGTCTTCGTCCTTGTCATTGTCGTTGTTGTCGTCATCATAATAAAAATCATCGTACTCCATCTCATGACTATACCGGGCGGTGGCCGGTATGTTCAACGGCGGAGATTGTCCTCCTAGGCCGTGGCCACCGCCTCGGGTTTGTCGCCTTTGTTTCGGCTTCTTCGTGCTCCCTAGCTGATTAGTGGTACTATAGTAGGAATGGGAGATTGGTTTTTTGTATATATCGGGAAATACGACATCGGACTCGTCGAATTCTTCTCCCATTATTTTGGCAATAGATACTTGTATAAAACTATAAATTTGAAAGAGTTTTTGTTTGAATGTAAAATAGAGGTGTAAGAAAAGTGGAGGAGGATAAGAGATGGGAATATATAGGGTGGTGTGGGGTCCATGGTTGAATAAAAAAGGGGGTTTAATGTGGTATAGTGGCGTCATCTCTTTGGCGCGTTGAGTGGCGCCCGCTACTCCCTCTTTCTTTAATTTCTTACAATTATTCACTTCTTTCGTGATCAAGAAAATTACAAGTATTTTTTTAAAAAAAGAATATTTATGTTTGTATTTAGATCGAGGTGTCAAA